ATAAATGTTTTTGCTGCGCGTTTCGCCGTTTGCTGCGCGTTTGCACCCATCGGCCACCGTATAATTTACTTATAAAGTACGTGCTCTATCTCAAGGGCGACAGAAGCATCCATAATGTGGGGGGGACACAATGATGTGTGTTGGTGTGTGTGCGCACGTAAAAAAGGTGTTCACTAATGTACAAAAAAGCAGCATTTCACCTAGATTTCCTTTAATTCCACACATTTAAAACATGTTTCTCACCAAGTTTGTGTAAATTCATCTGTGGGTTTTAAAGACATTTTAACTTTAATACACTTTAATACAGAGCGTCAGGTCGACAATATTTGTGTTTATAGAGAAATAAAAAACATCACCACTGGACTTTTTTACTTGTGTTCAACACTCCTCATCTAAATGATGTTTATCATGAAGCTTGAGGACAATAAGGTGTGGGGTTTAAGACATTTCAACTTTAATGCACCTGAACACACAGCGTCTCTTACACCTGCAGCATCTAACAGCGTCACAGCTACTGCTAAGCTAACATGCTACAGATGTAGCGCTCCTCTCAAGCATCCTCCTAACATGAATATATGTTTCTGATCAACCCCCTGGTCAACCACTGCTCGTACTAAGCTGCTAAACTGGCGAGCGAGTAACACAGGTACCTCCACCTCCTCCACCTGTGCGTGTTTTCTGCCGAGGCAAGAGGCAGAAAGGGACGGTGGAGAGTTGGAGGTAACCAGGAAAACCTGGAGTGGAGTTTTAGTAGCTTGAGTATTCTCCTATTAATCAAGTGGAATGGATTTGTTCACGAAGAACTAGAAACTGCGCCGCCTGAACTAATGTTTCATATTAAAAGTGGGGGGGAGGGTCCAAATGAATGTTTTTTTTTATGTGGGGGGGGGGGACTTGTCCCCTTCACATACAATGGTTGCGACGCCTATGCTCTATCTGCACCGACCTTCATGTAGCTATCTATGCCACTCGTATTTCAGAGTCAGAGTTTCTTTATTGTCATTCGCACCTCATGTGGTACATGTGGTGGAGCGAAATTATGTACACAAGGTCCCAGTTACATTTCCATTACAAATCACTGGTTAAGATGACATGACGCATTAGACCTGACCTCCAGTCTGGGCTGAATTAGAAAAACCCTGCAAGATACAGAATGAATTATTTCCATGGTGAAACTTTGCCTCTCAGTGGTGAAGCTGCATATCATTTTAACCATGACATAAATATGTCAATGATTTTAATGGAAATATGAATGGCGTAAATTAGCAACATGAAAAGTGGCGGAGATAGAGCACATACTTTTCTAAGTAAATTAAGACAGTTCTTATTCATAAACGGAATTATACTAGTACATTGTATGAAAATGGGTTTTCAGGTGAGACTTAAAGACTGTGAGTGTGGGAGCCTGCCTGACATGCAGTGGCAACTCATTCCACAGTCTTGGACCTGCAACAGAGAAACCCCTGTCACTTCTGAGCTTACGACGGGTTTCTGGAACTGAAAGGAGCATCTGGTCTGCTGACCTCAGAGAGCGTGGTGGGACATATGGCTGTAGAAGATCAGTGAGAAAGGATGGGGCAGAACTGTTCAGTGATTTAAAAACATGCGAGAATTTTGAACTGGATCCGAAGGTGAATGGGTAGCCAGTGCAGGGAGGCCAAAACTGGAGTAATGTGCTCTCTATGGCCTGTACCAGTTTAAAATCAGGCTGCAGCCTTTTGGACCAGTTGTAGACGTGCAATGGAGGACTGATTGATTCCAAACAGAAGTGTGCTGCAGTAATCCAGCCTGGATGTTATGAATGCATGGGTCACTGTCTCAAGATTCTTTTTGGACATTATGGGCTTCAGCTTAGACAGCCGCCTCAGCTGAAAAAAACAGGATTTAACAATCATGTTTACGTGACTGTTAAGTTTCAGGGAGGGGTCCATTATCACTCCCAATTGGTGATTCTTTGTTTCTCTAACGGAGCTAGAGAGAAAAGGTCAATGCAGTGGTTCATGAACTTGCCATTGGGATGGAACAAGATGACTTCAGATTTCTTCTCGTTGAAACTTAAGAAGTTTAAAGCCATCCAGTCCTGGATGTCAGCCAGGCAGTCCAGAAGAGGTTGAATAGAGTGTGTGCCTCTGTGCCTCAGGGGGAAGTAAATTTGACAGTCATTGACATAGAAATGAAAGGGTATGTTGTAATTGTGGAAAATAGCACCTAGTGGCAGCAGGTATAAATAGAATAGAAGGGGACCGAGGATGGACCCCTGCGGTACCCCCCACTGAAGCTCTGGTGATGCTGAACTGAAATCTTTGATATTGACACAAGAGGTTCTGTCAGAGAGATAGGACCTAAACAAATTGAGGGCTGATCCTGTGGTGCCCACCCACTGCTGTAGCCTAGAAATGAGGATCCCATGGTCAATGGTGTCAAAAGCAGATGTAAGGTCCAATAGGACAAGCAGCACAGAATCACCTGCATCAGTGGATAGGAAAATGTTAAAAACCTTCAGTAGAGCACAACAAAGTCCATGCTCAATAATCCAGGTATACAATCCAACATTTTTCAGTCAGGTCATCTGGACAGTTTCTTCAGTAGAGCAGTTTCAGTGCTGTGGAGAAGTTTGAAGCCAGATTGGAATAATTTTAGGAAAGTGTGATCCTCCAAGAAGCACTTCAACTGAGACTCAACTATTTTTTCCAGTAGTTTAGAGGTGAATGGGAAGCTGGAGACAGGCCGGAAGTTGGACAAGACTGAGGGGTCGAGGTTAAGTTTTTTTCAGGAGAGGCTGGGCATGTTTAAAAATTTTTCCGACCACACCTGAAGATAAACTGCTATTCATAACAGCAAGACTAGAGGAATCCAGAGTAGGAAAAAATCTCCTTTAGTAGTTGATGGGGGACTACATCAAAGGGGGAACCAGATGGCTTCATGCTGCACATGACCTACTCCAGAGAAGACAAAGAGATTGGCTCAAAGTGGTCAAATACAGCTGCACATTGAGATGGGATGAAAGGATCATGAGCTGGTGGAGAAATGAGTGTCCGGGTGTTCACAACTTAGTCGAAGAAGAAATGGAGGAAGTTCTCACACAGTTCAGTTGAGGCTTCCAGAGGTGAAGGTTCACTGAGGTGTAGAACTGCGTTCAGAGTGGAAAAAATAACTTGGGGGTTGTGGGAGTTGGAGACAATTATATCAGATAAGAATTTAGATTTAGCAGCTTTAAATGCTTTCTGATAACGACGCCAACTCTCCCTTAGCATTTGAAAAGAAACCTGCAGACTGCCTTACCTCCACCTGCGCTCTGCTCTCCTAAACTTCTGTCTAAAGGCTTGAGTTATGTCATTAAGCTAAAGTTCTGACCTAAGTCTTGTTTTTCTGGTTTTAACAGGAGCAACACGGTCCAGAGCATTTAAACAAACAAAGTTAAACTGAGAGGTTAGCTTCTTGGTGGTAAGAGACACCGAGAGCTGTTCGATCCTCTCAAAATTAACAGCTTCAGTAAAACGAGAAGCAGTGAAGCGGTTAATGGCACATGCAGAAGCGCACAGCTTAGCAGTAGGACGGGGGGGTTTGAAGTCAAACAATACAGGCATGCGATCTGAAAAAACAGCCGCCAATTTCCAAATTACAAACAGAGACATCGTGATGCATGCTCAATAATCCAGGTAGAAAAATCTAAAAAAAAAAAGTTAAATCTGGTCCTCTGGACATTCAAAAAACAAAACAAAGCAAAACAAACAAACAAAAAAATGTAGAAATGTTTCGTCTTTCATCCGAAAGACTTCCTCAGTCTGAGGTCCTGTATTCAGCTCAGTCTCTTAAACAGCACCTTCTCAGCAGTTTTGCTGCTGACAACCAAAACCAGCTGCTCACATGGTCAAGAAGGACCATCAGCCTAACAATGGATCATTAGCACACTGATGGCTGTTTACTGTTCACAGAGGGCTGAGTGATACTAGCAATCACAGCATTGTAAGAGGGGGACAGTTGAACACGGAGGCCTCCACCCCTGTTTAATGATGGACGGTTTCTTTTCACAAAGATGGCCTCCTTTACTCCTCTCTCAAACCATCGTTCCTCTCTATCCAGGATGTGAACATCTTCATCCCTGAAAGAGTGACCTCTGGCCTGGAGATGAGTGTAGACCACAGAGTCCTGGCCTGATGATGTTGATCTTCTGAGCTGGGCCATCTTTTTGGCCAGTGGCTGTTTTGTTTCCCCAATGTAAGACTGATCACAGCCCTCGTGACACTGAACAACGTACAGAAGATCAACATCATCAGGCCAGGACTCTGCGGTCTACACTCATCTCCGGGCCAGCGGTCACTCTTTCAGGGATGAAGATGTTCACATCCTGGACAGAGAGGAACGATGGTTTGAGAGAGGAGTAAAGGAGGCCATCTTTGTGAAAAGAATTTGTCCATCGTTAAACAGGGGTGGAGGCCTCCAGGTTCAACTGTCCCCCTCTTACAATGCTGTGATTGCTAGTATCACTCAGCCCTCTGTGAACAGTAAACAGCCATCAGTGTGCTAATGATCCATTGTTAGGCTGATGGTCCTTCTTGAGCATGTGATCAGCTGGTTTTGGTTGTCAGCAGCAAAACTGGTTGATCCACTCTGAGAAGGTGCTATTTAAGAGACTGAGCTGAATACAGCACCTCAGACTGAGGAAGTCTTTCAGATGAAAGACAAAACATTTCTACATTTTTTTTTGTTTGTTTTGCTTTGTTTTTTTTTTGAATGTCCAGAGGACCAGATTTAACTTTTTTAGACAAGTCAAAAATAGTCAAACATTCAGAAAGTGTGGAGAGCTAATGATTACCAACACCAACAAATGTTTGTTGTCACTTCAAAAAGTTTTCAAAAGTTATTATTGATATAAGAATCTCCTAAATCCTGTTCACATTTCCTTGAAACAATCTAAAAAAGACTGAATAAAGCATTTTCCTGTCAACGCGCTTTGATCTAAGCGATGCGCGGTCACGTAGTCCGTCAACGTCACTTCCGCTCCGCAGACCCTGGAACAAGCTCGAGGGGCTGCGAGGCCGCTGAGGCTGCTTGAGTTTAGCACCGTGGGGCTCGAAGTGGACCGAAGCCCAGCAGGATTCATGTGGACGCGGCAGCGCGTCGTGCCAGCTGGGCCACACCGTCCGAACCGAACCGAGCCGGCGGCTAAGCTAACGCACCTTTGATCTGTTAGCAAAGCAGAGACTTTAGCTCCACACTGCTCGGCTAACAACACCTGGTGGATGAAGGATGTCCTCCGCCAGTATCGACCCGCAGGTAAGCTGCTCCACGGGCTGCAGGTGAGTCGAACCGGAAGCTAGCAGCTAGTTAGCCCACAGAGAGGACAGACTAGCTGCTGGGAAACTCAGGAGGCCCGAGGAACCGGACCTCAGCCAGCTCGGAGCTGCTGGCTTGGTTAACATTCACAGATGAGTTATGTGAGGATGAAGCTGGATGTTGTGATGAAAAGCTCACCTGTTGTCTCTTTCCAACATGTTCTGAAGACATCAAAGGGACAAGATGCAGGCAAAGGTGAGACATTTCTGCACTTTGACATGTCCTCTGTGTAAACATTTCTGAACATCACAACATTTAGGGGACGCATCATAAAACTGACCTGGACAGATCTCCTGTCCATCACAGGACACCTGGACAGGTCTCCAGTCCATCACAGGACACCTGAACAGGTCTCCAGTCCATCACAGGACACATGGACAGGTCTCCAGTCCAATCCAGAGACACATGCACAGGTCTCCAGTCCATCACAGGACACCTGGACAGGTCTCCATTCCATCACAGGACACCTGGACAGGTCTCCAGTCCATCACAGGACACTTGGACAGGTCTCCAGTCCATCACAGGACACCTGGACAGGTCTCCAGTCCATCACA